CACACACACACACACACACACACACACACACACACACACACACACACAGTGGGTAACGCACCCCCTCGTGCTGGGAGAAGAGTGTCAGGCAGTAGCGGAGAGCTGCGCACACTTCCCCGGAGAGAGCACAGGTCTCCTTCACCTTCTGCAGGACCTGAGGAGGCAGATCTAGAAAAAGGGGAGGGGGGTTGTGAACCACTGACCCACATGAGGGGGTTGTGACCCCCAGTCAAGCAGTCAAACATCTCAGGATAAGGGGGTGTGAGGACTTACGGTGGGCCCGCTCGTCCTTCCTCACCATAGCCTGCAGGGCAGAGACCTCGCTCTCCAGTCTCTGGTGACAGGCCTGGGCGGACTGGAAAAAACGGACAACCGTGAGCTGATGAGAACGAGTCCCCTGCAGGACACCAGGGGACGCGCAAAGCTGCATGCTTATGGGGAGGGGGCACCTCACCTGCAAGGACTCGCTCAGCTCAGCCAAGGTCACTGCGTGGTCCTCGTCGTCCTCGCTCTCCTGCTCATGGGAACAGTAGTGCGTGCTGTAGGCCGAATGGTCCTCCATGGCATCCAGCCACCTCTGCTGCCACGGAAACACCCTTCAGCTCTGCTTATGGCCTCGCCACGGCGACCGTCTCCATGGCTTACATGGATTTGGCTACACTATATACTAAACATTCACATTTTACATTTCCAATGATGCACAGGTGAGAAAGGCTTAGGGTCAGAGAGCAGGGTCTATGGAGCCGGGTTAATCAGCTGCTCAAAGCACACAATTGTATGGGGCCCCAAAGGTTACTTGTGACCCCCCTGTTGGTCACAAACAGTCACTACACTATTAAACAAACACGCTCCTTGTTGAGCAGATTCTAATAGCCAGCTATGATCTTCTGACCCAACTCACTAGCTATTTATCTGATTTTTGAAACATTACAATCATTACATTATTGATTTTTCAACCTTACAATCTACTGGGTATGGATAACGTTCACCAGAAACCATCTTAAATAAGAAAGACATTCACCAAAATTTTTACACAAAGGATCAGGAGACAAGGAGGTACATAAACCTACAATCAGAAGGTCACCAGTTCAAATCCCAGGTTTGTCAGGGTGAACAAGACACTGCCTGACCCCACTTTCTAAAAAAATGCATGTTGCTTTGGATAAAACAGTCTGCTACATAACAAAATAAACATAAATGAAATAAAGAAAAACCACGCCTCACTTTTCTTGTGGCTTGCGGATCATTCTTGGGGTCCACTTTGAAATGGTGGATACTGTCGTCGAAGCATTTCAGCGTAAAAAGGCAGGGGTCTCGTTCTCTCACCTTCAACGAGTGAAAAGCAAGGATGGCATCAGATCAGCCTGCACTCAGTTGCTACAACATGCAAGGAGATTTACGTCACATGTGAAGTGCAAGTGCCCTTGGAGGTGGGCTACACCACTGTCTGACAAACGGAGGCAGGGGCCCAGGAGGAAACAATCCTGAGACCATTGTACATTTTAGTTATTCTTGTGTGGACTGCATACAGAGGTCAGTCTGCAACATACCGTACAGCGGGCCTGAGTCAGTGCTTTACAGCCCTGCCGACGGACATTGGCAGCTGCATCTGACCTACAAAAATGATGATGATTTGTTTTAGGGTTCCAAGAGATGCACAGCAGGAAAATGCAGTGGAGAATAGTGCCCCTCAGTGGCCAGGAGGACTCACTGTTTAGGGAACCAGGAGAGAACCCCGTCCTGGAGGACCACCCAGTAAAGTCGCCATCCTATGAAGCGGGAACTCTGGGCATTGGAATGGGGATGATGAGGGAGAGAAGCCAAAAGGGAGAGAGGGAGAAGACTATCAGGGGATGCCATGCAACTGGCTGCGGTTCTCATAACACCAGCCTCCAATTTTCATTCCAGAGACCAGACAAACCCAAGTGAGACAAGAAGAGGCAGGGCTGTTCCAAGTGTATAGCCTTGGGAATCTCAAACTTCTTGTGATCGCACAGCAAAATGGCCCAAAAATTTTTAATTACCTTCCAAAGGGGCCCTTGATACATCGGCACGTTGCGGGCCGCACCCTGTCAGAGAAGGAAATTAATGATGAGGATCTGGGAAAAAATAAAGTCACAGCGCTTCAAATTAACATTACATTAATGACATGACTCATAGTGAACCACAGTATAATGTATCTGAAATAGCAAGGGGGCAGATGGCGTTCTTACTCAATTAGCATAAAATACGCAAATCGCAGCTCAGAAAGTAACAAGCCATGCACATTTCAATGAAGCACCCAAACAGACATTTTATTCACGCCTGGCATATTAAAGTCATTTCAATTATCGATCGTACTTCATTCTTTTGTAAAATACCTAATCTTACTCATTGTGAAAGAACAGATTTTTTTAACTTATTTGTTTTTTGCATATTACGTGACATGTAATATGCAAAGCAGCATGTTAGAGTGATTGTGACATACTAATGACTCTGATCTATATCACCAATATTTCACTTAAATTTGGCAGAACAGTAACTGTTTATTCAAAGAACCTGCAAAATGAGTGACTTAAGCACAGGACTATCAATAATTAAACAGGGAGGGAGATATATATATATATTAAATAACCAGGGATTGACATAACTGGTATGCAAGTACGCATTCACCTTTAAAAGCATTACGTGCGCCAATCGATTAATTTAACAGCACAAATACGTACGTATTTTATGTGCGTTTGCGGCGATATGACTAAAAATTACCATGCAATTTAACCTCTATACTGCAAAGTACGAATTAGCATATAAAGGTTAAAATGCACGATAATTTCTTGTCATATTGGGGCAAATGCACATAAAATACGTTGGCATTCACAATGTTACAACAGTCGACTGCCGCACGTATCGCTTTTAAAGGTGAATGTGTACTTGCGTACCTGTTACGTCAATCCCTGAATATATAGATATCACAACTGAAGTGCTCACTCTCTGCCCACTGCCCTGCAGAATCTGCCTCATCTCCGCATCGCTGGCCAGGTCCAGTGGGGTCTGATCTGTTGACAGTCGGGTCAAAGAGCCACAATCAAACATCAGCAAGCTCTCTTAGCATCCAGACTGACAGACGCTGGCATTTTTACCCTTTTTGTTCCTGGCCGCGGTGCTGGCGCCGCTCTTCAGCAGCTTGAGAGCGCAGTGCTTCTGGCCCCGGTAGGCAGCGCAGTGCAGGGCTGTATTCCCCAGCAGGTCAGTGCAGTTGATGTTGGGGGGCTTCTTCCTGTTCAGCTAATGGCAAGAGCACAGTGCGGTGTCAGCAGATGGGCGGGTCGACTAGCCAAGTTAGGCTAAGCTCAGGTAAGCCAAGCCACTCCACGCTAAGCCAAGCCAAGCCACACTATGCTAAGCTAGGCTAAACCAAGCCAAGCCATGCTAAGCTAAACTAAGCTAAGCTAAACCAAACAAAAAGCACTCGGACCCCATTCGTGCACTGAAGCATCTACAGTAGTCTTTCAGTCAGATGTGCATCTGCAGTTTGTAAACATGCAGGAAGCGGCAAAAACACAGTTTCAGCTGCAGTGGAAGTTCTCGGTCCTGCTCCTGGGACATGGAGCCCAGGTAGGGTGACCACTCGTCCAGATTTCATCCAGATAGTATAGATGTTTTCCAACCCTCTGTTCGGACAGCTGTTGGGTGTCCATCTTTTAGCCTCCTTGTCCCCCTTTTTCCCTCCCCCTACCCCCCCGGTCAACAACTAGTGCCACTCTCACCCACCCAGTCACACAAAAAATGTGAACCCCCACCCACACGCATTGGTTTTTTTTCATGGATGTCCCCCTTTTTAGAGTCATGACGGTGGTCACCCTAAGCCCAGGTAACCATGGATGTGCCCCCATTTTAACGTGTCTGTGTTCTAGCTACAGAAACTGATCCCACATCAGTGAATTTTGAGTTCAACAGCTGGCTGTATCACACCTGTCCTTGCTGGGGCTGCTAATTGGAAATGTCTATTTTAGGATCTATTACACAGAAAACAAACACAGCTCCTTATGCACTACTCCACAGCACGTTGCCGTAGCGTAGCAGAGTACAAATAAAGCTCTTCAAACACTCTCACAATAACAACCGGTTGTCCAATGATAGTGCGCTCTCCTAATTCTTCATTTGATGCTAATTAGCCATATTCAGTGAGGACTTATTTTGTAAACATATAAACCGCCTTCCTCCAATTTTCTGAAGCACCTGCAATTTTGTGCTCCACACTGGAGTGCAAGACAATCACCCTGCAGCTGATTCCCAAATAAGATGCCACAGACGTTACTGTACCTCAGTGCCTTGTTATTACAAATACTGACCTGCAAGGGGTGCATGTCAAAATTGCCTGAGTTCAGAACCAGACTACGGAGCAGCTCACCAGCTGGACCAGCGTGGCCAAGTCCCCTTCCCGGGCGGCTTCTAAGAACTGCTCTTCCAGCTTCCTCTCCTCCGTTCTTTCTGCAGCTACCAGGGGCCATTAAAACGAGGAAATCATGTCACTCATTCTTTATGGGACCAGGTGGCCTCTGTCATCTGACCTTAAACATTATTACTTTTATTTGTGTGTGGCAGAAAATTTTAGGAAATACAAAAAATATATATTCTGACACCTCCCTTAATGATCAGTATCATAGCAAAATAGAAGGCATTTTTGATGGATAAAAAAAGCCTAACCCCCCCCCCCCCCACCCACTGTCACCGTGTGGTATTTTTACACAATGTAAATTAGCGAAATATTAAATCAATAAATGAGTTTTAAAAGATGCGAAAAAAAGAACAGAAAATTGACAAATGATTAAAGGATAAATTAACATTTGTTTCTAATTCACTATTTGTGCTTGTTTCAACTTACCTTCCAACATAATTTTTATTTCTTCATTATTTGTAACGTCTTTTGGAATCTGAGCTGTCCCATTAAGCACAGTAGCACAGGCATTATATTGCAAGAGTAACATCACGACTTCCTGTTGAGCAAGGGACAGACATGAAAGACTTCATCCATAACCATCTGTCAGAACCTGACTGAATTTTTAACAATGGAAAAATTATGCAGGAATTTTCTGACTAAAATGATATGGGAGAAAAATGTTGCGTTCTTTAATCTGACCGTAAATGGTGAAATCAGAGAACACTTTACAGAGAATTACCAAAAAAATATTCTCTCTGCATCAGAAAATGAAATCAATCATCAAATAATGGCGTTTGACCACAGACACTAAACAGCTGCCATGATCTTTATGATGTTTCCTTATCGATCCACGGCAAGGACAGGTATTCCCGAAACCCGTCCGCGGATCAAATACACAGTCGGAACACTCGGCACCACAGCACCTTTCTCCCGGTGAAGGCGGCTTTGTGCAACGGTGTGTCGCCCACGTTGTTGGGCAGGTTCACATCTGCTCCTACCTGTAAACAGACATGGGACATTGGTATTACAGGCCACAAGAGGTAGAGCATCACAGCCTGAACTGTGCAGAGGGGGTGGAGCATCCCGCTTCACACTGTGACAAGGCGATGGAGCATCACAGCCTGAACTGTGCAGAGGGGGTGGAGCATCCCGCTTCACACTGTGACAAGGCG